ATTCTCCACGAAAGACACCCAGCGTTGCTTCCTTTCAAGTTCGTATGTTCTAGCTTTCTTATTATCTCCTACTGAGATTATAAATCTTTTTTTTTATTCTCGCAGAAATCTGTTCCAGCGCAATGGGAATGGCAAACCTGGAGATCCGAGACGATATGATCTCTGCCAGCTCTTATCTGGACGCTGCTCACTCCTCTGCACATGGCAGGCTTGGTGAGCTGAGCAGCTGGATGCCAGCAAAGTCTGACACACAGCAGTATATACAGGTACACTTACCTTTCACGATGGCACAGTATGGGTTCAACATTCCTTTCAACACTGAATGTCTTCGTTGCGAATGGGATTTTTGTGTGCTAATTTGAGTGACCGTGCAGAGATGTGTTTTCACTTTTAAATTATGACAAGGAAAGAGAGAGAGAGAGAGAGAGAGAGAGAGAGAGAGAGAGAGAGAGAGAGAGAAAGAGAGAGGCACAGAGAGAGAGAGACAGAGAGAAAAAGCGTGGGGAGGGGGTCAGAGAGGGTGAGAGGGAAGGATTTGGTTGGCCAAAGGAGTTATTGGAAAGTCTTTTGAGCCTTCTGTGGGAAGGTTTCAACCACAAGATAAAAGGCTCATATTATATATTATGTCCTTCTCTTATTCTACTGCACAGGTTACTGTTGAAGGAGAACTATGTAGCTAATTCAATTTTCTTTAGGTATTATCGATTGATTGAAATTAATGTGTACATGCTGAATTTGTCAAATAAAGGTATCTTCAACATTTGCAGATACAGCCCTTGCTGGGTTGATAAGAATGTGGAACTGAATATCCCTACAGAGTTCGTAATAAAATGTTCAGCATTGTTCCTTGGAACTTTTAAAGTGATTGTGAAAGGAGTAGATTCTAAGACAATGGTAATGTCAGAAGTGAACACTTCTCTTTTGTATTTACATGAAATATATGAGTTTGATTTCTACGTAGCAGTCTACTTTTCCATGCAAATGAACTTAGCTGCGTCTATGGGGGCGTAAAACAGTGACGATCAATTTCTTCAGAATGTTACTACCAAGATGCACCTGCTGTACAACTTAGTGTGTGCGGTTCATCTTTATGCTACTGTCATCTGATAGCTGGTGTCTTATTCCCATCTTCCTCTCGGTCCTCCTTTTCCTACCTTCTCCCACCCCCTCTTTTTTCTCTTTGAGGCTATCCTTTTTCTGAAGTGGTGACGTTATACGTGGCCAAAGTTGCCTGGGTTCATCTTTAATGTATGTAAAATAGACAACTTTTTGAGTCTCCATGTTTCCCCGTTATCAAAATCCCATAACCCTGTCACTTATAGCCCTTCGAGAGCTGGACCAGCCCGTCCAACCCGTGCTCCAAGTGCAGCTGTTTCAACAACGAGGTGGTGTGCACCATCCCAGAGCAGTGCAACTTACCCGGCTTTAAGACCCCGCCCCCGCCTACAGTAGCTCCTGTCTGTGGCTGGTCCACATTCTTTGATGAGGATAAGCCTAGTACAGGTTAGCCCATGTTGAAATCGGTCGTTGATGTGGTTGAGTTAAAGCTTACAGTGCGGAAGCGTTTGTATTATGTTATGGTTTGTTGGTATTTGAGGGGGGGGGGGGCTGCATTAAAAGTCAATTTAGGTCATGTATTTATAAGCTGCGAAAAGAAAAGGACTCCTAAAAAGTTTCAGAACCTTATAAATAAGGAAGATTGCCCTGATTTTGTTTTGTTTTTAAAAATAATAATAATGATAACTTCTATGTCTGCTGAAATGACAGTACTGTGAAAGCCTTCTTACGGATGTCTACTCGATGGTGAGTTGCTTCCTTTTAAACAGTGTCCAACACTTTTTGGAGACAATTTATGGCTAAGGGTTTAAAACAGAGCAAAACCTTTGTGTCACTTGATGTTATTGATTATCAAGCTCGTTTTTTTCTCTTAAAACAGGTGGCGGGGATATGGAGCTCATCTCTAATTTGGTCAGCAAATATTCTAAGCAAGGGCTGTGCACCAAACCTGTGATGGCTGAATGCCGAGACTTAGAAACTGGACAAGAAGCAAGGCTGTCTGGTCAAAAGATACAGTGTGATGCAGTTGAAGGTCTCAAATGCTTCAACTCAGAAAATGGTGGCCGCTGCAAGAACTATGGAATTCGTGTTTTCTGCTCGTGCCCAAGTAAGTGCTTTACCATTGTTAGAGTTTTTCAGTTGATATTTCAAGGTATGAAAAGGATATGATCAATTAAGTGTAGGGCCTTAATGCTTTAGGCCCTCGTGAACGTCAAAAGGGAGGGGAGTTTCATTAACCGCGCATACCTAGAGGGACTAGAGCAGTATAGAATACACCCTAGCACTCGTAAGGATAAAGGTTCTGGTAAAATGCAGGACTTTGTACCCTCAAATATCTGGAGTCATGCTGGCCTCTAAGGCTCTTTAGTTTAGTAAGAGTTTTACGGCACATGCGATACATACTAGTGCTGAAGATGAGAAGTATAACAAGTGAGTAACAAACGCAAAAAAAAGAGGAGAGATAAGGACAACAGGTGTTTGAATGGAAAGAAGGAACAAACCACATTGGAGCATTCGCCAACCATCCACTCTTAGACTGTTCTTTAAGCTTTTGAAATGTGACAGTATCCACTTGAAAATCAAATTCATGTCCCCAGCCTGCGAGATTAAGAGCCTCACCGCCACACAGAAACGTGTATGAAAAACGTAGCAAAACAGATACTCGAATAAAGTACAGCATCGTTTTGCCAACCATCCTCATCTGGTATGATAGGGCTATTAGTTTTCTGCCAGCAGATCGGACACATATTATTTTGGGGAACTTTTTGTGATTGACTTCGGTCGTTTACTGCATAATTCTGTTATTTGTCCTTGATTCTTCAATCACATTCATTCTGTTCAGTTTTATGTGAAGATGAATAAACTTTCGTTTTGAAAAATACATCATTTTCATAATTTGGCAGTTTGGCAGAGTTAAGTGTTGAACTCTTGTGTTTTGCCATTTCAGGTGCACTAACACCTCCTACAACGGCCTCACCAAGTACTCCGTTTGTGACTGGACCTACAACGACACCTGGACCATTTGTGACTGGACCTGAATCTACCCCTGGCATTGTCACTGGACCTACATCCACACCTGGCATTGTCACTGGACCTCCGTCCACACCTGGTATTGTCACTGGACCCACATCCACACCTGGCACTGTCACTGGACCAGACACCACACCTGATGTTGTCACTGGACCAGACACCACACCTGGCATTGTCACTGGACCTACATCCACACCAGGCATTGTCACTGGACCCGATGCTACACCTGGCATTGTCACTGGACCTCCGTCCACACCTGGCATTGTCACTGGACCTACATCCACACCTGGCATTGTCACTGGACCTCCGTCCACACCTGGTATTGTCACTGGACCCACATCCACACCTGGCACTGTCACTGGACCAGACACCACACCTGATGTTGTCACTGGACCAGACACCACACCTGGCATTGTCACTGGACCTACATCCACACCAGGCATTGTCACTGGACCCGATGCTACACCTGGCATTGTCACTGGACCTCCGTCCACACCTGGCATTGTCACTGGACCTACATCCACACCTGACATTGTCACTGGACCTCCGTCCACACCTGGCATTGTAACTGGACCCACATCCACACCTGGCATTGTCACTGGACCTACATCCACACCTGGCATTGTTACTGGACCCACATCCACACCTAGCATTGTCACTGGACCTACATCCACACCTGGCATTGTCACTGGACCCACATCCACACCTGGCATTGTCACTGGACCCACATCCACACCTGGCATTGTCACTGGACCCACATCCACACCTAGCATTGTCACTGGACCTACATCCACACCTGGCATTGTCACTGGACCCACATCCACACCTGGACCTACCACTACTCAAGACCCAACGAAACTGAATCGTGAGTATTTTATTTTATGTTTCTGCGTTTTCTTTTCTTTATACAGTCCATCAGCACATAGGTTCTCTCTAAGACTGACCATTATAAGGTGCCTACATTTTCTTTCAGCCTTTAGTAGAGCAGTGTCCAGTACGTTAAGCACAACTATGTAGAAAGAATGGTATTATATTTAAGATTGATTTTCAACCAGCGTAAGTCAATATGTTATGCTTTTCTAGTAGTTTCTCCAAGAAAGGTAAATAATGGGAACGACGGTTTAGATTTTGTTCGGCTTTCTGTGACATGAATATAATTTATTTCAAATTAATACCTACTTCAGACTTGATTCCACGTTCATCAACATTCATTTCCCTGACCCGAATCTGTTCTGTTTGAGATAATGCTCTGCTAATGTTCTCTCGGTGTTCTCTATCAGTGTGTGGCTGGACTGAGTACATGAGCGCACATACCCCAGACATGATGGGAGAGCAGGAAACCTTGCCCAGACTTCGCACCAAGTACACGTTCTGCGATAAATCAAACATTTTGGACATAAGATGCAGAGACAAAGCCACCAAAAAGACAGCAGAGGAGCTGGGACAAGTAGATGTTCATTGTGACCTCTCTTCAGAATTGATTTGCTTCGGGTAATACATTTTCGCAAGTGATTGATTTTTATGTCTACATGTTAAGATCAATGGTATTCTCGAAATTTGATTGTTTATTATTAGTACTATGGTATAGTCTTTCCAATCAAATTTTGGCAAATGTTTTATACTGTCTTGGAGAATTGTATGCGCTACTGGATTTCTATTCGAACAAAAAAATTGAAAGTTACCATGACAAAGTTACCGTTGGCAAATTTGATGCCATAACTGCTTTGTCAGGTTCTGATCTGTTAATCTTCTCTTTTTTTTTCAATTCAAGCTTTTTTTGTTGTTGTATTAAATTTTTCCTGTGAAAAGCAAATCGTTCTTTCAATTTAACAATTATCGTCTCTTCTAGGTTTGATAGTGTAAAAAAAAACTAATGAATGCTATAGTCACAGAAGAAGAATGATAATTGATGTTTGTATTTAAAAGACTGAGGAGAAGGGAGGCCCAGTAGATAAATGAACTAAATGGTAATTTTAGATGATGTAATTCCTTGACACTGAGTTGATACCATAACTGTATCCTCAGTTTCAACCAGCCAAATGGCCTGTGTGCTGACTATGAGGTGAGCTACCTGTGTGACACAACCAGTGATTTCTGCACCGCTACACAGCCACCCAGCACTGTCGCTCCTAGCTACAACAGAACAGACATTTCAAGCCCGAGCACACTAACCACTGTGGACATCCGGGAGGGAGGGAGAAGAACCCCACAGCCTCCTACTTCCACGAGCCCTCAGCCTACCACTCGGGCACCACCTGTTGTCAAAGGTAGGGATGTCAAGGGATCGGTGGAGGGGGGGGGGACTTGTCGAAAAATTAGTATATCTGATTTTTAGCAAATATTTACGTTTTGGTGTCTTTTGCATCAGCTAAGGGGCCGGGAGAGGGGATTGGTAGAAGAATGAGTCTCAGACATTGACAGAAATCCAAGTTTAAAAGGTATTTGTATCGGCAAAGCTTTAGTCAAAAATACCAACTGACCCATTGAGGCCAGTACATGTATAGTCATGTTTTATTTTGCATGTGTTTTTCTATATGAGGCAATGGGACAAAATTTGCGACAAGTTTATCCAGTGAAGAAGAAAGACTTGTAGGGGACAGGAGAACATTCTGTGTAAAATTAAAGCTGCAACATCCAGCTGAGTATAAAAGTATCTGATGAAGAAGTCAATCTGTGAGAGGAAGTCTGGACTCAGCTTTTCATATAAGATCAGACTGAATTGTTCATTATTCTATTACGTATCATTTTAGTTGTTCATGTTGTGTTGTTATTGCATACATTTCAGTGTGTGAGGACCCTATGACGGACACTGTCCCGTTGTACAATACTGACAGAAGCCTGACAGCGTCTTCCTCATTATCTCCTTACACTGGCCCTGACAGGTCAAAACTTGACACGCCACTGGATACTCTCTATTCTGGAGCCTGGATACCTAAAGTAAGGGAACAGCTGCAGGTTTGGAGTTATCTAACAGTGTAAATACAAAGTGGTTAAAGTGTCATTACAACAATCAGCTGAGAAAGACACGTTAAGAGTTTGACTAATGGGGCAACTGAAAACAGATAAAAATGAAGATAGTATTGTTGGGGGGGGGGTCATGGTACAAAACTATGTCAGTTTCATGTCCTTTTTTTCATTAAAAAAGGAGATAAGAAAAGAGAAAAGAGTATTGCAGCTAGTGGACTAATGAACCGACTCAGTGTACTCTGTCAAGACCTTAAGCGGTGTGTTAGTTTAAGCCTTTGTCGTTTCATTTTCAATTTTTTTATTTTTGTTTTTTATTCTATGTTTTTAGTTTATTCTGTTGTTGTTGTTTCTTGGGGGTTGGTTGGGTTTTTTGGAGTTGTTTTTTTGTTGTTGTTGTTGTTTTTGTTTTTTTGTTTTTGCTTATTTTTGTTTCATTAGTATAAATAGGGTTTTTTTCCTGTCCTTTTAAAAAAATGTTATTTCCTTGTATAGAATATAATGAATATATACTTTACGTTTGCCAAAGCTAAAAGGAAAATTTTCGTGTAACATTGTGCCTGACGTATTCTCACAGGAATCTGACCAAACTCCGTGGATCCAAGTAAGTTTCCCTCAAGCAATGACCATCACGGCCATCAGCACACAAGGCAGCGATGGCACACCAGACTGGGTGGAGACGTACCAAGTATACTATAGTGTAGATGGTGATACTTACCACTATATTTTGGATGACCAAGATAATCCCAAGGTCAGTTTGAAATATCATAACATGTTTGCAAAAGTGAGAATCCTCTATCTCTTTCTTTCTCTAATCTCAGTCCAGAATGTCTCCCAATTAGGTGTAGTTTCTTATGTTCTTTCTCTCTCTCTCTCTCTCTCTCTCTCTCTCTCTCTCTCTCTCTCTCTCTCTCTCTCTCTCTCTCTCTCTCTCTCTCTCTCTCTCTCTTTCTACAACAGACACCGCAGCTGTCACAAAGACATATCTTTGCCCATAGCTTCAGACGAAAAAAGAATTTACAAACTGTAGAGGTCATGAAAGCTCTGGAGACTATGTTTTCATAGCTGTTTTTCAAACCAAACTCTACTTGTAGGCTAGTATTCATTTATTATAATATTATAATGACCAAGTAGCAGACAGCCCCTATTTTGACTTTCATTTGACACGGTGTCTTAAAAGACAACGTGCTTAAGGGACATCCAAGTTTTTCAACATTTTCTAAAAGTTTTCTGCAACTAAACCTGGTACTTCAGTTTAAAACCAAACGCTGTTGTTCGTGGCCAATGGGCCTCCTGTTAAATATTTCCATTTTTTAGAAGTCTTTGCCTGATGTAAATGTTATTTTTAGCGCTAGATTACTTCTTTCCCTTGAAATGTTAACAAACTGAATGTTCCAAAATATTTTAGGCTCATCGAAAAAAAACATCAAAGCCTGACAGATCTGAAATCCGTCACAGATTTACTTTGTGTGTACAGTAAAGAATAAATGACTTTGGATAGTTTATTTAGTCTAATTTTTTTACAAATAGTTAAATCGTGCGCATATATAAACTAATTTGATTGACATGATTCATGTAAACTATATAATATGAAATTCCTTTTTTACCCTGCAGATATTCACTGGTAATTACGACTCTGATAGCATCAACAAGGAAGTTATCTCTCCAACCACGGTGAGGAGCCTTATGATTCAACCCCTCACCTGGTTCAACAGGCCAGCTCTGAGGTTTGATGTGCATGGATGCATTGGTAAGTGGATCTGTGACCTCTTTGTCTTTTACATTCATTACCAAATAAATGTACATGTTCACAATAAATATTCCAATCAGTAAGGCCGGATCCCCCTTGAGAGCAAACCGTGTTTTCCCCTGTTTTAGGGGGGAAAGTACTTTTCGGTAGGAGTATGAGGTGTTATAGATTTTCATCCACATTTTTACTTGTAATTTCTTTTCAATGCAGCCCCTTTGCCGTAAACATGTCAAATTATCCTCCACAAAAATGTTTCAGCCCCAGAGACTCCAACAGTCCCAACAGCCCCTACTACCCCAGATGGTCCAGATGCTCCAACAGGTCCTACAACTCCAGAAGGCACAGATGGTCCAACAGGTCCTACAACTCCAGAAAGTCAAACAACTCCCACACCATCCAACTGCACCTCTGGCTGGTCTGACTACATCAACAGAGTCCACCCTAGCGCGGTCCAGGGTGATGAGGAGAAGATGAGCGCCGCGGAGCTTGGGGAATTCTGCCCAGGAGGAAACATCACTGACATTGAATGCGTAGATCAGGACCACATTCCATCTCACAGCCTAGCACAGGACACCACGTGTACCATTGAAGGTGGCTTCCGATGCACAAATGAAGAGCCAATTCCTGGATTTGACTTTGGGGACATTGGGCAGTGCTATGATTACAAAATCAGATACTTCTGCACTTGTGGAGGCAAGTACCATTTATGAATATCATTAGTTGCTCTTTTGTGTAAATATTCACTCTAACGGATATTTTTTTTTATTAAAACAGTATTGTGTTACGCTACAAAGTGACATTCAGCTGTACAAATCTCTACCATAATGGAAATACAGTCTAGGGACATAAAAGGTTTGTTTCTTCCAAACGTACTTGTCAATCATTGTTTGGTTGGGTTTTTAGACAATGAGAAAGGTCATTCATGTAGTTTTAAACTTTTTTTTGTATAATTAATTCTGTAAAAAGATCAATTCATTTATTTGAGATGGGCGCTTTTATAAAGGTGGTTTGTACCCCTGTTTCAGAACCAGTGATCGTCACAACTATCGAGCCACCCACTACTCCCAGTGTGCCATCAACTCCTAAACCATCCCTTCCACCGAGTGTGACGCCGCCTCCAAAGCATACAACACCCATCCCAGGTTAGTTGCAGTGTAGTAGTATTGTGTTATGTTTTCTTTTATGAGTTCATGGCTATTGTTGAACACAGGTCTGTTCTATGAGCTTAAAGGGGGGGGGGGGGGGGGCTACACCCCCAAAATCAAAATTCGGCTCAAAGTCATGGAATTTGAGTTGTAGTCATTTTTAGCTTCCTCAGCCTCTCCTACAACTATTTCATGGCATAAGAACCCCCAAAAACGGTATTTTTCCCATACCGGGCATGTTTGTAACCGCCATTTCCTCATAAAGTCAGTATTTTATTTTTCTTTATCGGCCGTTTTCTCAAAATGCGACTTTTCTCTATACTTTTTTTAATAACTCCACCATTTTTCAACCAATCTTCGCGAAATTTTCACAGAAGGAAGAAAAGAGGTAGTACTAAAAATTTGTCTGTTGAATTTTTGATATAGGGAATAGATTTTTGTTGGTGGTATCTGGAGTGTGGATTTTCACGGATTTTTCGCAAACTTGAATGCTACCTCAGGAAAAAAATCATTAAAAATGTTCTAATTCGATTAGGAGAAAAACAACAAACAGATTTTTAGATCTAATGTTTGTGAACACGCATGCAAAAAAAACCAATCGATTTCCATGAGCGATAAGTGCGGTATTCATTACGTAAGACATGTCAATAAAATCCAGTATGGCGGCGTATCCATGGAAACGAAACTTTTTTCTCAAATTTGATTGCGGATTTTAAGACTCCTTACTATGCTTGTCATATGTGTGAAATTTGGTAAAATTCGGTCCAGTAATAAGCGAGATAGCCTCCAGGTGTAACCCCCCCCCCCCCCCCCCCCTTAACAAGGCATTCTCCACGAAAGACACCCAGCGTTGCTTCCTTTCAAGTTCGTATGTTCTAGCTTTCTTATTATCTCCTACTGAGATTATAAATCTTTTTTTTTATTCTCGCAGAAATCTGTTCCAGCGCAATGGGAATGGCAAACCTGGAGATCCGAGACGATATGATCTCTGCCAGCTCTTATCTGGACGCTGCTCACTCCTCTGCACATGGCAGGCTTGGTGAGCTGAGCAGCTGGATGCCAGCAAAGTCTGACACACAGCAGTATATACAGGTACACTTACCTTTCACGATGGCACAGTATGGGTTCAACATTCCTTTCAACACTGAATGTCTTCGTTGCGAATGGGATTTTTGTGTGCTAATTTGAGTGACCGTGCAGAGATGTGTTTTCACTTTTAAATTATGACAAGGAAAGCGAGAGAGAGAGAGAGAGAGGGGGAGAGAGAGAGAGAGAGAGAGAGAGAGAGAGAGAGAGAGAGAGAGAGAGAGAAAGAGAGAGAGAGAGAGAGAGAGAGAGAATCCATTTTATTGTAGTACCAAATGCAACTGGTTAAATGTTCAATTTCAGAGACAAATAATTTTGAATTATCATTGTTTTCGTTGTAATTCACTTATTAGCCATTTCTAACGTGCCCACTTTAAATTGTAAGTTTTGTATCATGAAACTTCTCCATTACCTGTGTCTTTTGGAAATAAAAGTATCCTGTTTGTTACTGAATTTCAAAAGAAAGTGATTTTTATGCCAAATGATCTGTGAAATCAGTAACAAGCTTTGGTTCCTCTCTGGAATGACCGTGTCTCTTCTTGTAATTGTGCCTCTTCTTGTCCAGTAGGGATAAAATGCAGGGCTTTGTATTCCCAATAACTTTGATGTCACGCTGTCCTCTGTTCTTTCAGCTGCTGAAATGTGATAATATAACTAGAGACTGGGCATACTTTTCTTGAGGAAGCATAACTATTTTTACAGGTTGACTTTTTGGACCGTGAGCTGATATCTGGAGTGACTGTTCAGGGTCAAGAAAACGCCCCAGTATTTGTAAAGACATACAAAGTGCTGTATAGCCAAGATGGCGTCAACTGGGTTCCTTACCAAGAAGTTTCCGGACAGGACAAGGTGGGTCTTGGTGCTATTGCTCTGTTGATAATGATCACAGATTTCTAAAATGATTTTTGTCTCTACGGTCATGCACAATTGTATCTGGATTTGACCAAATGTGAACACGTCTTGGCTTTCAAATTCACCTGTAAAATGTATGCCAAATGCAAAACTGAGCTGAGAAAACTCTTACTTTCATCGAAAATGAGTTTTACCTCTTGTCTTATTATATTACGTGAGAATGATATCAAGCTTTGAAGTCGTGAACGAAATGTAGATCTGCATCACATCTTTGTGGATTAGTAACCATTTCTTTGAGGTTATTGGCTCACCTTTTCAATGCGTGAACAGTGGTTTCAGTAATCTAAATTGAAGACATGAGCAGTGCGTAGAGTGAAAGTGTATTCTTCCCGTTAAAACATAAAGAATACTGTCACAGGTGGTTTGGTGCAGTCGTGTTTTAAATCGTTCATGTGTTTGTAGTTAGATGTGCCTTTGAATGCAAGAGAACGCGGAGCAACTCAACTTGTCAAATTTCTCATCTTCAGATCTTCATTGGAAGCTCAGACTCCAAGATTCCAGTTACACAAATGTTCGCTAAACCGGTGCGAGCACGTTTTGTGCGCATCAACCCTCTGACCTGGAACAACCGCATAGCTCTTCGCTTTGAACTCCATGGCTGCCCATCTGGCGGATACCCAAGTAGGTGCACTTTACAGACTCATTAGTCTTGGTACTTGTGTTTTTAATCTCCTTTTGTGAGTGTTCTTACACCCCCATCAACACAATTTAGATAATTTAGGAGGCAGGCTTGGACCCTGCCGTTCATAACCAACTGGGGCTGGGAGGGATACAACGTCCCAGTAGAAAGACCAAGATACTCGATAAAAATTGTCCTCACGTGGGAATTAAACTCGTGTCTTCTGCGTGCAAAGATTCAAAGATTCAAAATGATTTATTGATTTGAAAGGCCTTTGGCCCATACATCCACATATTTTAACATATGGTTCGGCAATTACATACATTGGTGCAGCACATTGGATGTTTAACATAAATTGGACATGCACGCCCACATACACGTATGCACGCACGCACGCACGCACGCACACACACACGCACACACGCACGTGACGCACGCACCTACACTCATACACACTCCTGCTCACACACATACTTACATACATACATACATACATACATACATACATACATACATACATACATACATACATTCATATGATCAAATAGAAATAGAACTTCCACACAGTGCTATGAATGAGGCAGCGAGAGAAATCGGGACATGTTTCACTCTGAGAAGTGAATACCGATGTCTTTTTCATACACATATACATATAAAATAGTACCCATTACAGTAGATACAGAGTTACATATGCGAGTGAATAGCGTGCAGCGGCAAAGTGACGAACTCAGTGTGTAAACCTGAGTTCTAGGTCCTGACTCACGGCATATTGCAAGATTCTATTGACAGGATTATTGTTTCACCATAAATATAGCAAGAGGCAGGATGGGGGGGGGGGTGTTAAAGGGAGAAAAATATAAAAAATATTGGTCAGCGGATGTTGAGATTTGTTTTAGTAGAATCAGAATAAAACGGATCTCAGTTTGAAAAGTTGAAAGAACACAGATTGTTTTCTAGACAGAAGAACAAAATTTCTTTTATAGTTTAGAGAAATAATTTTAAAAGGTGTTATTATTTTGATAATATAGGCCTATATTATCCTTGCCTCAGTTTCATTTCTATACTACTTGTTAAAATGTGTAAGTTTTGTTGAATATTCAGGTTAAGGTCTGTAATAACCTATTTCTTGACTCGGAAATATTACACAACTCCTCCTTATTTTGTTGTTTCAATACCTGTGCAGTAAATGGATGAACAATATGCTATTTTTCCAGCAATGCCCCCAACAGCTACATATGGAGACATCAGGACAACTGGTGCTAAAACAGTGGTCACTACACCTGCTCCCACTGTTGAAGGTCAGTATCTGGAGGTCATTTGAACAGGGAAAAGTTTAAAAGATGGTTCCTTGTACAATAATGTCAATGTCAATGACTTAAATTTGGCTTTGTAGCTACCCAAAAGCCGGGGGGGGGGGATAGAAGTTTCAACAACCACAAAAAAGCAGAACACACAGATATGCTCATAAATATATGATCACAAGGCCCTTATGTTTTTCTATAAGCAGTAAGTTAAGCAACGAGAAATTGTAACCACCTCCCTCCCCCCCCCCCCCTTTTTTTCTTCTCAAAAGGCTGTTTTTCAATAGCCCTTGATAGCTGAGTTTCTTTGTCATGCTCTGTCTACATGAATAGATATAATCTTGTGCTATTGACTGCCACACCAGTCTGCATCGCTATGCTCTTCTACTTTCTATTCTATTTACAATGTAATTTGCTCTTGTGACTGGATCCAGACACATGTATTTGGACGAGACTAATTGGTTTATAAAACTTCAATACACTTTTTCCATAATTATGTCCTTTTCCACCGACATCTTTGGTGTGATGGTTAGGCTTTTTGCCATTGCGGGCAGGATATGTGAGTTTATTTCTTTGAATGGGGATATTTATATCGAGTGTGTCTTTCTGTCTGCTGAGATGTTGTACCATACTCAGCTTGAGCTAGTTCTGACAAGCCAGGTGAAAGCTGCCTGTTTTCTTAACAATGTAAATTTAGTCAACAGTGGCATAAAATACGTGTACTTAACAATTACTTTCTTTCTGTCCTATTCCTAGCCCCTAATCAATGTGATTTCCCCTTGTCCCTGTACCCAGACACTTGCATCGAGTGGGACTTGTGGTTGGATCTGCACCAGCCTGACCTGCAGGATCACAATGAAGTAGAGTCTATCGACGACCTTATCGCTGCCTCCAGTCGCTGCCGGATGCCCATGGCCATTGAATGTCGCACCGCCACACCCGCCCATACACCAGCCCGTGAGACCGGGCAGAACGTTGTGTGCAATCTGTGGGAAGGTCTGCGCTGCCTTAGCCAAGATGTGTCAGAGCCGAGATGCTTCAACTATGAAGTGCGATTGGGCTGCCTGAAAGACACGCCAGAGTGTGGTAAGTAGGTTTAAAATGCCAATTAAATATTTTCAGAGGGCTCTGCTTACATATTTGTCTCTGTTGGTAAATTTTTGCTCTGTTATAATGAGTACTTATGGTGAAAAGAGAAAACTCTTTCCCTTGTAACACAGTGTTACGTACAGACGGATATTTTTCTCTTTTGCCTGAATGTGTGGTCTGGAAATACAGAATGTGTCAAATCTAGATCACGTTTGACAATCTCTGTCCTTTTCTTGTAGACCAAAAACAGAACATACTCTCTACCAATGGACCGAATGTGAAAGTAGTTTCTATTAATGTAAAGTAATTGATGTAACGGTCTAGAGTTCCTGTCCAGAAGGAATTATTTTCTTGCACTTTGCTGTGGTATAATGATAACAATAAATCCACATTGGTAATGTTAAATCAGTAACTATGTTTAATTCTTTGAAGAACCTAAGTTTCTTTCAAACAATACTGTTACATATATAAACTTATTACAAGTTGTGAAATTGTATTTCTTCAGCTGTGGACACAACACCGACCGTGGCACCTTTTGCTATCTGCTACCCGGGCATGGACACCCGCCATTGTCCTGCTACATGCCCTGTGGGTACCTTCTGTGATGGTGTCAAGTGTGTGCCCAAAGACGACTGCCCGTGCCTCATTGGAAACAAAGTGGTTAGGGTATGTGAACCATTTTTAAAGTATGGAAACTGTTTTGCTATTTGCGACCAAAGCAAACAAAGTTGATATTAGTTGGGACACTGAATAGAAGCCTGCTTAGACCTTTAAGAGGTATGTCTATAGAGCTTATGCGTTGCGCTACAACAATGGGAAGAAGTATGATTGAGGAAAAAATTTTAACTATCAGGGTAGAGCTTTGTTATTTGTCACCTTGAAATTGAATGTTTTACTCAAACATTTACAATAGGAGTTCCGTTGTGTAAAAAAAAAACCCGGTAAAATCCATGTACAATGGTGTTTATTTATTGTTGTCTAATGAAATTGCTGGGGATTAATGTGCGCTGCAGTTGAGAACTTCAGTGTGGGCCAGGGGGGGGGGGTCACTGCTTTTTAGTAAATATTGCTGCTAGTTGTACTTTTCTTTTCAGCGGACTGTTTGAAGACGTACTGACATCAAATTTGAAAATATGTATTGTTGCTCAGCCATTGTAGCGAAATAAAGATACTTTCTTCTGACTTTCTATACTCCAGAGATGATGTGTCTTAAAGCAGATTTCTCGGCTCTCAGGGAGAGTGTTTAAGTGAACGTGTGTCAGCAAAGAGTTGGACACTGCCCAAATGATTGTGAACGTTTTGCACCCTCATTGACACAACTGAGATCATTTAGGAAACGCATGAAAGCTGCTAACACTTCATCTTTAATAAAACGCAGAAATTAATTTTCCTTTTATATCCGTTTAGCGACATAAGTTTGCCTCATGCTCACAGCTAAACGGTTGAAAGTGATAGAGACAGTTCTTTTTTAATATTATGTTATGGTCTTTTCCAGTAAAGTCAACATTGGAAACTTTTTTCTTTATCTTGACTCCTGTCTTCCAGCCTGACGGTGTGGCGAGAAATGAGAACTGCGAAATCTGCCAGTGCCTGGCTGGAGAGCCCCTTTGTATGGCCAAGAAGGAATGTCCACCCTGTGATGAGGTCAGTAGCCGTTATTAGCTTCATTCATTGAGATGTTATGTCGGGTGAAAACATGGACAGATCTCCGTGCAAAAATTAGAGGATACAAGCATGTAGAACAGTTTACCTGTTCTTACCCTTAGCCTGAAATCTCGTACGTCCTAATACTTCTGAAAAAAAAGGGTAAAATGTTTTCGTGCAGGATCACGAGATGATGCTGATTTTTTTCAGGGTCTGTGCAAGGTGTGCAGCCTTGCTGTGTCATCAATTGAATAAGTTGATGTCTTTTATGGAGATCGTGGTTTGAAAGAGTTGTTCTCTTTTATTTTAAAATTTAACTTTGACTTAATTTTCTTGGGGGGGGGTTCTTTCTTTTTTTCTTTTTAAATGATGTTGGTGAAAGCTCCCCCTTTATAATCCCCCCCCCCCCCTTGAAATCGACAATTTAGATTGTTTAAGAGATCTTAATTTGTTGAGCTTAAAAAAAAGGATTACAAATAGCCTATATTATAAAGGGGGTTTCATCTGGTGTGGAACACCATTTTGAAATCTGTCATGAAGTATGAAATTCCGATCATTTTACCAGTTGATTCATCTGTGATAAATTTATGCCATTTTCTCTGGACCCACCAGGGCATCAGCAACCGTGACCCCAACACGTGTTCTTGTGAGTGTCTCTTGTGTGCCCCGGGACTGTTCCAGTGCAACGATGGCGTTTGTCTCGAACCTGAAAAAACTTGTGATGGAGTCATTGACTGCCTCAATGATGAATTGAACTGCGGTAAGTAACAGTTTTACCTTTATGGTTTACACTAACCCAAGAGTTTTCTTCATAGTCTGCAAAGATCTTTATGCTGTTAATGGAGATATCCGTACTTTGTGTACTTCTGAGCTGTTTATAAGAGGGCTCAACATTTTTTGCGTAAGACAACCTGAGACTATAACACACTTATTAGGTTAAATTATTTATAAGGTTGTTCAATTTGTTGCCTTTATCAAAAGCCATGAATTTGAATATGATTCACAAAATTAAAATGTGACTAATGAATCAGTTCTAACTGTTACAGAGTTCTTGACTGCTGTCAATAGAATGGTGCAGACATGAAGATTCTCCCCCACGCTCTCCTCCTACAGCCTACATGTGTCTTGATAAAGCATCGTCCTTGTTCATAGCATGCCTGCAAGTGTCCAAAATGTGTTATCATAGATGTTTTATGCCACCATCAATACAATTAAGATCATTCTGGAGAAGGGATGCTTCAACTCTACCTATCAGGGCTAACCTGGGCTAAGAGGGATACACCTTCCCAGCAGACGGATGAAGATACTTGGGGGGGGGGGGAGCTCTCCACGTGAAATTCTCCACGTGGACTGCCGTGCAGTCCCGGCATTGAGAAGAATAGAACTGGCGTGGCACTCGTGTCCTAAGAGGCAACTAAATAGCGAACCAGGTAGTGACTCCCAAAACAGAGCCATTCTCCCTCCAGGTCGGGGGTTGAGTCATGCGGCTAACAACCTCCCTCTCGTAAAAAGAACCTGTTACAGAAAAACATAGAAGAAAAAACATTATCTCTGCTTTGCTGGTCTTCTCCGGCTGGAGAGTTTATAATGCCAGGCAGTGAAAGCCGAACCCACAGGGAGCACGAGGCAGGGGTAGGTCACGGGAAACATGGAGGAGATGTGTGGAAAGGAACATGAGAGAGATTAAGCTCACTTGGAACGAGCTTGGAAGAATGGCCCAGGACAGAGATAAATGGAAGGAGCTTGTATGTGGCCTATACCCTGCCAAGGGTGGAAGGGATTGATGATGACGTGGAATTCGAACTCCTATCATCTTTACGTGACGGCAAGGTACCTAATTGCTACACCACAGATGCCGGTTGCAACTGTCAATTTCTGTAGCTTCCGGTCAATGTCTGTAATCTATAAACACAGAATTGTGAGATACTTTGTTCCTCAAATGTTATGATTCTATTTTTATTTTGAATAATTTGTTTTTCTTTTGTAGATGTGGACGTGACATTTACGCCTCCAGATTTCAATAAGACAACCACACCCATTGCTCCTCTTCCCTCTGAAGAGATTTCGACCACTGAACAAGTAACAACTCCAACTGGTGAACCTGGTAAGTGGTCACTTCAGCACTTGTATGTTGTATCTTCACAGACTTATGGAGGGAATGGAGGGCGGGGGGGGTTTCATCATCACCAATGCCTTTCACCCCATGACAGGGTATAGGCCACATACTAGCTCCTTCGATTTAACTCTGGCCTGGGCCATCCTTCCTAGCTCGCTCCAAGTGAGCTTCATCTCTTCCACACATCTCCCCCATGTTTCCTGGTTCTCCCCCATGTTTCCCGTGGCCTATGCCTGCCTCGTGCAGGGGCTTTCTTGTTACTCTATTATTTTGTACTTAGCCATGTGAGCTATGCTCCACCTACAGTACGCGCATTAGGTACTTGACAATTTACTTAATTTTCAATCCATGTCTTTGTGAAAGTTATCATTTATCCTCCTTTTGAAATCAACTTTATAGGTTTAATATCAACAAAAAGTTTTTAAAAAACAGTCAAATTAGGAGAAAACTTAGAGAGATAACAATCTCAACAATATAAACTGAATAAAAGTTTTTGAAGAGAAATGTCTGTTGGGAGATTTGTTGTTACATGAAAAGTATTTGGTTAGCATTTTAAAAATGTTTCTGTCTTTAATGTGTTTCACATCTTAGCTTTTTTTTTTTCTTTTTGTTAACGAACGTTATCCTTTCTTCTTCCCAGGAACTTCCACTTCTCCTGGACCAGTGACAGGTAAAACATTTTTGTTACTGTTGTTGTTTAACACTTTCAGCGTTGAAGTGTTTCCATTTACGTTTGTACAGACAAGATAAAATGTTCATTCAACAGAGATTAAAACAAAGCCGAAATATTTCGTCTTATTAAGAATTTTTATAAAACTTCATACGTTGCAAATGCACCTTCTAAAATATCCACAATAAACCTGTGGTAAAAATGGCAGTGGCCAGTTTGGGGGAACGCCAGAGAGTAAACGTCTGCACAGTGGTGAAGTGGTTAAAACAAAATAGGGATAGAAATCATTCGGTTTAACTGAATCGAGTAGCAACAAATATAGTCTATTGCTTGTACATATACCTCTACTTTTAACGGAGCAAGCATATGTTACATTTGTTTGTTCTTTTACCTAGGCCTTATTTCAGAGATGCTATTGTTTCTATTTTGTCTTTTCATACTAATCTTGCGCAATCAGAAGATGGTGTATTTTTTCTTTAAACTTTAATATATATTTTACACCATGTATCAAAGATTTGTTTTTGGAAATTCATAAAAAATGTGGGTACATTCAAACTACATTTACTTTCAAGGTCTTTTTTTAATTGGATTCCCCTTCAGAAGAAGTTCATTTATTTTGTATGTTTTTTACACTGTTCCTTTGTTTTCACTTTCCCTTCTGTCCCCTTTTTTTTTGCAGATATTACCACCGGCCCAGGTCCAGTTACAGGTAAATCATTTTGTCTCCAGGAAAAAATCAGAGACAGAAATTAAAACGTTTTGTGAATGGACTTGTGCATGGCATACAAATGTACCCAGTACTCTTTTAATATTTCGCAAATACTATATATGGTTGTGCGAGGATTTTCACAATTCCTAAGAAGCACAGTTTTTAGGTTATTTCTTTTTTCATGATTTGTTTCTCGTTTGGCATTTTCTCAGGTAGAACACATAAACCTCAGTAACGTGTTTTCTGTTCTGTCTGGTAACAACACAGTCGAACTTCGAGTATTGCTTTTTGTTTTCTGAAAGTACAGTAAAATGTGCATGTAATATTTAGCTTCTCTCTGATATTTATTAAAGCAAAACAGAACTAGTATTCTCTTTACAAGAGTACTGGAAAACTCTGGCATAACATAACCTCTTTGAGTCTGGACATTTTTCTGTCGTAATTCGTCACTGCAGATGTATTCAAAGAAGCAGTAGTGAAACTTCAAAACGTAGCACAAAAAACTTTGCTGCCAAGTTATTTTCTTTATGTGAAGTACAATCTATTTAAATTTAACTTTCAGAATAATATCTTTAGATTAATCTCGTGTTTGTGCACAGTGTAACTAGAGCTTGGTTTGGGAAGTTTACCTGTGAAGATTTTGTCTATCTGATGACTATAATAATATCATGATTATGAAGTTATGCTTGATTCTTTTATTTTTATCTCAGATTATCACATCTTTTGTTTTCACATGATCCTATCTTGTTTTCAGAGACTACAGGTACCACCAGCCCAAATGCAACAGACGCAGTTACTCCCAGCCAACCCACTCCCAGCACAACCACCACTAGCCCCACCACCACCAGTCCAACTACTACCATCCCAGGCCCAGAGTCAGGTAAAGTATTTTGTTTACTTGGAAAGCTGCACACAAATACTTTTGTGATACATACATACCAAAGCACGTGCGTGCCCTTGCTTTTTTTTAAATTGATATTCAGCAAGTGAATAAAGTAGAATGAGATTTTGAAAATCCTCTTGTAATTTTTATCTGAGGATATAATGGTTTAAGTTCAACAGTTACATTTAAGTTCTTAATATCAAGATCAAGATGAAAATATACCAAGCTTATGTGTTGAGCCAAATATGTCCTGGGCCGCGAACTTACATCAAGGAGGAAAAAAACTCAACAGCTGCTAGGTCTTTCTCTTTTGATACTTGTTTTGACTTCCGCCTTGCACTGGCTGTGGTCTCTCGGCAACTGTTCCCAGGTACTTAATTTGATGGCCTGTCTTTCTTGATCTGAGTATTGTATTGGATTTAATGCCTGATGACAAGAATATGATGGACAATTAGTTTTCTTTCTTTGATCTGGAAAACATGTATTTATTCTTGCAGGGAAATATTCTTATGCTTCGTAACTTATCCTCAGAATGGTGTCCTAAAGTGTTCTGCCCAGTTTTGTCAAAACCAGACCTCAAGGAAGGCATGACGGCAAAACTCCGCCGTACAAAAGACGGATGCTGCCAGGAGTATGTGGTTTGTGACATCGATGCCTGTTCAGCCAAAATCTCTGCGTGCAACTCTCCCATGGTGCCCCAGACTATCCCCACTGACGAGTGTTGCCCAGACTATCATTGTGGTGAGTGTGATGCTGGTAGCCTACATTGTGCGACCGTGCTCATAGTTGGTATTAGACCGCCACTGATGGGTCTTACTTCCTTACTTTCCTTAGAGTTGTTATTTCTGTCTGCCTGCCTCGCTTTTCCCCTGCACAAAGAGATTATTATTGTGTAGAGATGTATTATTCTTTACTCAGTACCCAAAGACTTGGGTCCTCTCCTCCATTGCATGTCATGAGTTTAAGCTTAAATACTGTTTTGATCAAGCACTTGTTTCATCTATAAAAAGTGACAAACTTTAGTTCAAAGTGAAGTAGTAACTTACTACGTCTAGTCAAGTATTTCTTCGTGAATGTGAACCTACCAAGCACAAAAGCCTCTCACTTCGATGTACCCAGTTTTGCTGGTTTTGTCACAAAGGCAAGTACAGCGATGTAAACCATTATGTTCCTTTGAGCATGAGGGCCATGCTGTGCAGCTAAAGGGGTTAAAGTTTTCATGTCTTTTTGTCTTGTTGTTAATAATGTATGACGTCCCATTGACCCTATACGTCCAACAGTGCCACAATCCCCAGTTTTGACCTCAGAAGTACTGGAACATCTGTAGTAATTTTAAGAAATATGGTTACGATTAGAAGAATAGTTAGGGTTAGGTCAAGGGTTGGGTTAGGGAGATAGTAAACGTTGGGGCCAAAACCGGATTATCCCAACAATACTTAATTTCCTGCTGTCCATCCCCTTCTTGCACATATTAAAATTTTGTTCTTTCACTTCCAGTGTGCCCTGACAATTGCCCTGTTCGTCCTACCCCTAGGTGTGGACCGGTAAGTATTAACAATTTTCATGTTTGGTTCTCTCGCCAGAGAAATTGGTGTTGGTTTGTTGGTTTGTTGTTGCTGTTGTTTTGTTGTTGTTGGGGTTTTTCTTTGGGGGGGGGGGTTGTGGGGGGGTGTTGAATTTTGCTTTGGGTTTGTTTTTTTGGTTGGGTTTTTTTTCAATCAAGGTAAACAAAGGATGTAAACTATGATAATAGCTGCAATTGGTTCCCAGGGAATAGTATGGAAGTGCAAAGTTCCTTGTACTTGTAAAAGCAGATTGATGTTTGACTGCTCTAACAAAGCTGGGTATTTTCTTCATAAATTTTAGCTTGTTCCTAATTCACGTTTCTGTCTTTCTCCATGATTCAGGGTTCAGAAGCAGTGAGGATCATGCACGATTGCAACTGCACTAGCGTGACCTGCGGTGAGTGTCATCTATAATATCTTAATAAGTTATTTTATTACAAATTTGTATCATTTATTTGTGATGAATGACAATGCATGTGTTGGAAAGGCAGCCTCATAGGCTATTTTTGAAAGGCAGTTGAGTGGTGTATTTACGAGAGATTATTCGTACTGCTTAGTCATATTTTTCAGTGCAATCTAAAGTTAATGATAGTTCTCTTGAGATTACTTGTGAATGTGTGTTTGTGTTGAAAATGACTGCAATTTATAACAGTGCTTATGTGGGTGACTTGTTTGTTTATGTGTGGGTGGGAGAGATGTTAGAGGAACAACAGTGGATGAGAGTGTCTTGTGGAAGGGGAGAGAGAGGGGCAGATTCTTTGTATTCGTGTGTGGTATTCATGAAAAAAAACTTACTTAGAGGGAGGTTTAAGAGTCTGGTGTAAGGCAAATACCAGGGTAATATATTCTATTTTCTTTAGGGCACTCGAGCAGAGAAATGAGTATTGGATCAAAACTGCCACAATGTTAGGGGGGGTTTTGGCTTTTTTTTTGGGGGGGGGGGGGCCTTTTTGGGCTTTTTTTTTTTGGTTTGTTTTTTGGACCTAACACTTGAAGAGGAAGAAGAAGAAGAAGAAGAAGAAGAAGAAGAAGAAGAAGAAGAAGAAGAAGAAGAAGAAGAAGAAGAAGAAGAAGAAGAAGAAGAAGAAGAAGAAGAAGAAGAAGAATTTTTCAATTGATTGTATCGACTCTGACCTCCTCCTCCTACTCCTCATCCAGTTACTGTCCCTCCGGTCTTCATACAAACCACGCCCGTCCCTGTACCTGAGCTGATTGAGGAATGTGTCTACCAACAGACACTGGACATCGTGAATGGTCAATCAGTAGACCTGGCACAGCCCACTGACAAGGTCTTCCAGGTGATGAGCTATATATCTTTCCTGCTCTGACATTCGGTACCGTTTGGTTAGAAATGAAGTTTTGGAATTTGACTTAGAACTGTTTTGGCTACTAAAACGTAGATTCCTCTGCTTTTTGGGTCAGCTGCACGCTGGTTTTTTATTAGAGTACCAGTGCTCTAAACCTGCACACTGCCCATAGTAAGGGTTGATTTTATTAAGAATTTGGCCTGAGAAACTTGACTAAACGGATTTCCTTGCTTTATGATACTACATAATTACTGCTTCGCTACTTCCGCTCTCTCTCTCTCTCTCTCTTTCTCTCTCTCTCTCTCTCTCGCTCTCTCTCTCTCTCTCTCTCTCTATTTCTCTCTTTGTTGACTTTGTCTAAAGAATATCAGTGTCATTCATCCTAACTTCTGAAATTAAACCTACTTCCAGTTCCGAGGACTTAGTCCTGTCATTCTACCGGACATGATAACTTCAGCTGCTCGTTCTTGACATTTCCCACTGGATTTCTTTTTTTTTTCCCTCTATGTGGGGAAAAGTTTACGCGAGGCCATGTTCTGTCTGACTTGAAATCAGGAGTGAGAATAATCCTTAGCTGTCAACTGTTCATGGTTACATCAGTGCGTAGTCCAAGTCAAACGTTTTCACATAATATGAGGCAAAGTTTTGTCCAAATCAGATTTTTTTTCACGTAAAATGAGGCATATCCCAAATCAGATGTTTTCACACAATATGATGTGTTGTCCCAGTCAGATGTTGTCACATAATATGACGTGTAGTTCAAGTCAGATGTGTTCACATAATATGATGTGTAGTTCAAGTCAGATGTGTTCACATAATATGACGTGTAGTTCAAGTCAGATGTGTCCACATAATATGATGTGTAGTTCAAGTCTGTTGTTTTTACATAATATGAGGCATACGTGACCAGCTGACGTATAAAAATGCATTAAATCAAATGGTCGCTTTTAAGAACAAGAGGATTATCCCGAAAAATGCTGTTTTGAGAAAATCGAAGGAAAAGTTTTTGCCCCTTGTCCACTTTCTTTAAAAGACAAGGAAAGTTTTCTTTATAACCAAAAAATATACACACCAATGAAACCAAGCTTCTCCTATAGGTAGGGCAATGTCCACTTTTGGTGCAGGTCAAGATTTCTAGAAACCCCCGAAATCTGGGTTAGCCCGCTTGTCCTTAAAAGCGACCAAATGCAAACACCCTTTATTTATTGTTGTTGCTTTTTGGTGTCTTTGTCAAAACTAGATTGGTGACACTTGGTCTGACGGGCTGTGCAAGTCGTGTGCGTGCATGAACAGCTCAAAGGGGGCCAGCGTGGAGTGTACTGAGGAGAAGTGTAGCCCATGTAAACTGGTGAGTACTGTTTTTTCCTTGCTCTCGTGGATATTTCTCTAAACGGGCGACCTATGGCATGTAGGCCATATATATTTGTCATACAAAAGGATTTGAACTAGCTCCCGTTAAATATTTAATTGTAAGTTTTTCTTATCACTTCGGATCATTTAGGAGGCAGGCTGCGTTGTCCCTGCTCATCAGAGCTAATCTAGACTGAGTTGGGTTCAAGTCTCAGCACAAAGAAGTTGATATGCAATGAAGAAAACTTCCCCACTTGGAAATCGAATTCAAATCTTCTATGTGTAACAGCAAAGAAAATAACTTTTATACCATAAAAGTCGATTTGCTCTCATTAATTAGAAATAAAGTGCAAATTGTTGGGAAAAGGTGTGTTAAACACAACTATTTTGCAACAGCCGACTTAACTGTCTACCGAGTTGACCTCTGCGATGACATCAAGTAAACGGTGGTTGTGGTACCTGTGAGCAAAGGTCCAGGCTGGCACATATTTTCTCGGAGTTACAACGTTCCTGTCATATAAAACGTCTTCTTCATATTCAGTGGCGGTGGGTGGACCAAGATTTGGGTGGGGCTTAGGTTTCTTCCACTTCTTTACCACCAAATAGCAAGCAATAAGAACAAAACAGTGATGATTCTTCTATACTCACGGCGAGTCACGGCATTTTGAGAACCATTCAAACGAGAAGAGTCACCTTTGTCTTCCATCTCTTTGTTCTTAGTTAAATTTAAGCTCTTCTGGGTGGTGGGGACGAAGCCGTTTCACCTCCAAATTTCTATAATCAGTTTTTATCTGAAGAAAAAGATGTCTCGAAAGTGGTTTGATGTAAGTAATAACTGTTAAATCTCAGCGGCACAAACACACAGCACTCCAAACACATACCGTCTATGAGGTGGATTGGGTCGTGTTGTTGTGGAAAATAGAACGCGCCTAACAAAGGCCCAATGGGCGCATAGGTATATGTGTCACTGGGGGAAAGTGTGTCGTAAACTTTCACCCCATTGTCAGGGCTGGGAGAGCGTGAGCCCTCTGTGCAGTGTTATTTTTTTATAGTCGTCTACCTTTTTACAAGAAGAGTTTCATTAAAGACGGACGTGGGAACCGGCTTATTTTTCCTGAGCCCTAACGACATTTGATTGGCTGTTAGGTTACTATAGTTGTAAGCGGTGACAACAGTGATTGGATAAACGGGCAAGCCGCCAAGCTGATAACTGTGTGTTCATTGCGTGCAATCATAACGGTTTCAACTGCTTATTTCGTTATTTAAGAAACTTTCATTAACTAAAGGATAGAGTTGGGGTGGGGAGGGGGTGAGGGGCTCAAGCCCGTAAGCCCTTCACTACCCACCGCCACTGTTCATATTACAACCCAGAAACTCGGTTATTACTCAAGAAGAAGATATTGACAAACTGAAAGGAAGCAAAAAGTTTTGACCTACCTTTGAGCATTAGTTCATTTTCATGTAATATGTGTTATTTTGTTTCAGGGAGAATCGCGAGTAGACACCCCAGGCCAGTGCTGTGGGGAATGTGAACCCACTGGCTGTGTCCAGAACAGAGTTGTCTATAAGGTAAGCTATTTTAGTGGGTCTGCAGTCTGGGGTGAGAATGATGTGTGGCATGGTCGAATACTGCCTCGTGCATATAATATGGGTAACCTCAATTCGATTTGTTAGAGAAAGTGGGGGGAGGGGGGAGGGTTATTCCACTGTCAGTCACTTCATTGCTATTTGTTAGAGTGATACTAGTATAAGTGTTATCGAATTTCGTGACATCTGGCAGTTTTGACAGAAAATTGTAATTTTATTTTTCTTTCTTTTTTTTTCCTTTTTTTTTGAGAGGGGTAGATCTAGACGGGGCTCTCAATGTTGTGTACTTTTCAGAAAGTGTCACAACACTGAGTTCAGGCTAGATTGATTTGAAATTGTTTGAAAAAAAATGTTTAAAAAAATAAAATAAAAAATGTATATAATATATATATATATATATATATATATATATATATATATATATATATATATATATATTATTCTTCTACTATGTGTAGGTAGTAAATAGAAAGGATCATACAGCAATTGACACTCTGTTGTAAACTATGTCTGAGCATAAGTTGCATGCATGTCTTAAATAAAATGCGATAATATGATATGATCTTCTGGGATGGAAGGTAAAATTGAGAAAACAAATATTTGTAAAATAGAAAAAAATCTGATTTTGATGTTCATACCAATACATTTTTTGCCAACCTTAACGTTTATGAGCTAAAATTTCCACCCTTAATTCAGAAATTTGTTTCAATCTTATAGGAGAACGAGATCGTTCCAAATGACCGCAAGTGCTACACAAAGACCTGCAAGAAGGACCTATTTGACGGCAGCTTCATCATGGAAGAAACACAGAAGCCTTGCGAGAAGCTCGAAAATCTGTCCCCCTGCAGAGATGGCTTAAGTGTAAGTAGTATTTATGACTCTCTATATAAGGGCTTTTGTTTAAATTGTTTCTGGATACCACCATTATGCTTGCCAGTGCGCAATAAATATGTGAGAAGTTCAGACATGATGTGATGTCAGTGCTCAATCTTAATCTTGCTCTTGCATGTTTTCTACCATCATTGTCAATCACTTTGACAGCTTTCAGTTATACAGAATGTTTTGTTGTTGGGGTTTTGTTGTTGTTGTGTGTGTGTGTTTGTTTGTTTGCTTGTTTGTTTGTTTGTTTGTTTGTTTGTTTGTTTGTTTGTTTCGTTGTTTTTTGTTTCGTTGGTTGGTTGCTGAGTTTTCTTTGTTGTTTTGGGGGTTTTTTGGAGGGGGGAGAGGTTAAGTATAGCACCAATTGTAGCATGTCAAGCATCCAAAAACTACCTGTCTCCTGGTCTTTTTTTTCAGCATTCATCCTTTCTTGGTCTATAAACCAATAAGCTGTGTTGATTGCAGTTGTAAACTGTTAGAATCCTGATATATGTAGTGTTTGTTTTGTTCCTCTTGCTTTTAAGATTGGGTCAAAGATAATCGCTGTTTCTGCTGAAAATAACTGAACACACGTAGATAGATTCATTACTTTTTGGATAAGACACTGCAGTCTGATAGAAGTGTTTCTCAGCATACAGTGTTGTCCTTTCTGATCTGAAAATGAGAACATTTGAAAAGCTTTTGAGCTTAAAGAAGTTATGGCAGCTTAGGAGCCGCAGAGCATGACAGTGTTGCTCATTTGCCTACAAGGCAAATGGATTCAGACTCCATGTACACTATCATTTTCACATGGGTAGTTGGGGGGCACCATTGGTAGGTCATCTCCTTTCTCTCTGTTGGGGCTGTCTGTTTTTCTTACCTTTTCCCGACACTAAATGATATTGCATTATTGTGTCAATGTACACTTTTTATTCTCAGACAAACTTTCTTTCGATGAAATAAAAATTTGTCTTTAAATTTATATGACTCGTGATGTGTAAGATTATTGCACAAATATAATGAAAGAAATATTGATTTTCTTTTCTTTTATAGGAAGAGGACATGTATGATTCTACTGGATGCTGCTTGGCGTGTGTTCCACCGAGTAAGTACCTTGTCCAACTCTTAATTCTTTCACCAGTTATGAAGAGTACTGAGTGGATGTGACATCTCTAGTATACTAGTTTTACTAGTGACTGGTTGTCGTCATCTATATGGAGACAGATACTCACTCTCTAACTTTATCCCAAAGATATCATGTAGAATGTATTGGTAATGAAATCACTAGGAAGTCAGTAAAGGCGTCCTCCTCTCTCTCGGGGGAGAAGACAATTTTGATCCACTCCCCAAGGATTGTATAGTTCTCTTTTGGACTTAATGTTATGGTTCTATAATAAATTGAAACAGTATCAAATATTGTGTGCCACAGAATGGGTCACAACTCTACGAGGGAAAGGAAATGCTATTGTATGCACCGGATCTCACATTTATATTGTAGCCCAAAGGATATTTTTTAATAGATTTATATAACCTTTTTCACGTAAATTACAGTAGGAGATAAGACTACACTAAAAGAACCTCTATTTGAGAAATGATACAGAGTTTCTTTGTCAGCGTCAGTGGCAACGTCTTTTCATTCTTGTATTTGGTATTTTCTTTCTCTTTTACTTAAGGTTGGTTGGGGTGGGGGATGGGGGGGGGGGGACCACTAATAGATCCTACTACTTTTCTACGATTCTTCTTTTGTTTCCGTCTGTCATTTTTTTTTTTGGGGGGGGGGGGTTCTACCTCCAAATGACCATTATTGTGGCAGTGTGCTTCTCTTCGACCAAACAATCACTTTTCTTGGGAAAGAAATGTAGCTATGACTGAGGGTGAAACGAACTCCAACTTTTACGCACATTGTTCTGTTTCCAGGCTTGCTGCTGACCAATGACTCTAGTGTGTGCCAGACCTGCAGCCCCACCCTGATGTTCGGCTCACCCACTCAATCCATCGGCTTCTTCAAGGTGACCTTGCCCTCAGGAGTCAGTTGTCAGAACGACGCTCCAATCCCCGATCTGAAGCAGTGCAATGGCTACTGCGCTTCCACCTCTAAGTATTCTGATCTGATGATGGGATTCGACTCCAACTGTAAGTGCTGCACCCCAACAAGTATAAGCGCACTCCCAGTAGGCTTGGTCTGTTCCGACGGCAAACGCATCACCAGGAACTACGACGTAGCAAATGCATGTGGATGTTTGCCATGCTCTGGAGGGTCCTAGACAGAAGCTTTCCTCCAATTTTTTTAATGATGCAATCTCCAGATATGATGTATTCATTTGTTAATTTTCTGTTTACCTTAATTATAATATTTAAATCCACCCCATCCTAAATGTAAGCTGATTTTGTCCCTTACAAAATCGTTATTCCCTTTAATTATTTTTAACTTGTGTTTTTTCTCAAGTTGGAAAAAAAGATATATTCCGAACATGATATTATTGACCTTCATAAATCTTTCCTCCTAGTTACTGTAACTCTCTCAAGGAAGAAGCGAACCAGTTTTGATATTAACCTTTAGTGCCTTGACAGACTGGTATAAATTTCTGTATTGATCACAGTATTGACATATTTGCTTATAACAAAAACAAACTGATGACATACGATGAATTTGTGAAATGTTTTGTTCCTTTTGCTGAGCATGCAGTTTCTGGGACCTTGTCCTTGTTTTGACAGAATAAATTATGGTCATAAATATACGAGTATTTGTACTTATTTTTCATTTGTTCTGTATTGTAACACACAAGTAACAAGGATGATTAGATTCAGACTTCATGCAAAGGTAACAGCTTGCAAAGTACACAAATCAAGGCTGAGAACATGACCGCTTTTGTCCAGAACTTAACCCCAGTGACTACTTTTTTTACTTTCCCCTTGTTCATCTTGTGTTTGCAGAGCAAACCTGCCACGTAATTGTACTAGATCTACATGACGATAAAGTGAAAGAACTGTAAAGGATATTATTCTGTGCTTCCACCAAACGCAACATACTAAGGAGATGGGCTGCTTTCGCCCACCTTTTTGAGGCCTGTCCGGACTGTTTGGGGCACATCCCAGTGGAAAGAGAAATACTTGATGAAATTCCTTCTCCACAAGGGCATAGCAGCCATGTCCTCTGTGTGCAAAGCAAACAGCGTACACCTCAGACATAAGTGCTTTATCCAAAAAAAGAGACTTGCTGTGTTTGTTTGGTTGATAAAGAATAGGATCACAGTGACACAGCAATGACCCTCTAGTGCTGAAAGGCAGGACGACAAATGGAAATTTGATACACTGATATGCTGGAAAAATAATGCCTGTTTGGCCATAACTGTCTGAT